AAATTCAGAGTCATGGGCTCAAAATTTCGTTAGGTTTACTGAAAAAATGAAACTGATAAAATTTGAGTGCAATAAGTCAACCCCTTCACGTGCCTCAAAGGGGTTGAAGTTCTTCAAAAATGGAGTGGATTTTCTTTTTTTGATGTGTACGCTCTTTATTTTTGAAGTTTCGCCAAAAACACGAAGAACAATTTTTATAGAACTCAATTTGAACAAAAAATAAGGTAATATATTATTTTTTTGTAAGATTAATATTTTTTCGTAAAAATAAGAAAAATCAGTTTCATTTAATTTTTTAAAAAAAATTATAGTTTTCAGTTATACTTTTCCAGTGTCTTAAATTTTAATTGTACGCAGAAATTGTACAGAAGTAATATTAATCACCGTGATATCTTCTATAAAAAACGTTATTTGAGTTTTTTTCGAATTATGAATCCTTTCCAAATAAAAATTTAAAACAACTACGAAAGAGTGTTTTTTTTTTTTAAATTTTTTTTGCATGTATTATTAGGGTAATTTGGAGAGAGCTGCCCCCCCCCGCCTCACCCACTCACCTTCCTTAAAATTCAAATATAAAATTAATTTCAAATATGAAGATTTATCAGATTTTCTAGAAAAAGATGTTCCTTTTTCGTTGCTTAGCAACAATTCATGGAAATTATTCCAGCGTTTTAAATTAAAATTCAAGTTTATATATGTAGATCCTACCACATGGAAATAAATAATGAATACAATAACGCCAAAGAAATATTATCCTCGACTAAAATAGTAAACGACAGAATTCAACAATTATCAAATTATATAATAATACTGCAAAATTTAAAATTTTAAATTATTATAACCTTTACTTTGGACTATTTTAGGTGTTTCAACAATATCGCCAGCTGTATACCAGATGTAGCCAAGAAATTTTGAATAAAAAATATTCAAATTAGAAAAATGATTATTGTGATAAACAATTATTATTTTATTGTGTTTCTTGTTTTTTTTTTTTATTTAATATAATTAATGAAACTTGTTAATTTATGAACAAAAAAACATACAAGTAGGATAATTTGGAGAGAGCTGCCCCCCCCCCGCTTCACCCACTCACCTTCCTTGCGGTGGAGGAAGTGTACGGGGGGATTAAATCTAACGTAAACTNCCCCCCCGCCTCACCCACTCACCTTCCTTGCGGTGGAGGAAGTGTACGGGGGGATTAAATCTAACGTAAACTAACCTAATGTAATGGTGGGGGAGAACGATGAAACCCAACGTAAACTAACATAATGCAATGGGAGGACGAAACCTTATGTAAACTAACCTAATGCGGGGGGAGGGAGAGGATGAAACCCAATGTTTTCTAAGAATTTTATCATCGACTAGCAGACGCTTAGGTAAGCATATGTCTGACATCAAAGGTATCATAATATTATATCGCTAATAAGTGTCTGTAATTTTATGGGACGCTGTCTTTGTATTATTAAATGTACAAATCATTTCTAAGAATTTTACCATCAACTACCAGACGCTTAGGTAAGCATATTTTTTTAATATTGAAGATGTCGTCATAAGTAATAATAATTATCGTATGAATTTTATGAGAACAATGGTATCGTTTGTCGTTATGGCATTATAATTTCTAAGAATTTTATCATCGACTACCAGACGCTTAGGTAAGCATATTTCCGACATCAAAGGTATCATAATATTATATCGCTCATAAGCGTCTGTAATTTTATGGGAAAAAATTGTGACGCTGTCTTTGTATTATTAAATGTACAAATCATTTCTATGAATTTTACCATCAACTACCAGACGCTTAGGTAAGCATATTTTTTTAATATTGAAGATGTCGTCATATAGTAATAATCATTATCGTATGAATTTTATGAGAACAATGGTATCGTTTGTCGTTATGGCATTATAATTTCTAAGAATTTTACCATCGACTACCAGACGCTTAGGTAAGCATATTTCCGACATCAAAGGTATCATAATATTATATCGCTCATAAGCGTCTGTAATTTTATGGGAAATAATTGTGGCGCTGTCTGTGTATTATTAAATGTATAGCTATAATTTCTCAGAATTTTATCATTAGCTACCAGACGCTTAGGTAAGAATATTTCCCACATCAAAGGTACCATCGTACAGTAACGATCGCTCTCATATGCATTTATTTTTTACATAGTATTTAATCTATCTGCTTTTGATTTATGTAATAAATAAATGAAATATAATAAGGATAAGGTACTAAAATAAAAAACACATTTTCTTTAATAATCAAATATATATTTAAGTAATCATTAGTGTTTTAAAAATAAAATCTTTTACATTATTTTTTGGAAAAAAAAACAAATTATAATATTTTATGAACTTCATTAGTCATAGGATTATATTCAAACATTTTGTCGTGTACAATTAAGCAATATACTGTAGTGTTGGTCGGAAAATTTTCATCAGATTCAAATTCTAATCTAATATCTAGTGGCGCATTTTTTAATTTTTCGTATTGCCTCGAACAGTCAATGACAATGAGTGGTGCAGTTGTCTTGAATTCTGTTTTTGTCAGCATAGGACACGCCATCTCCTTTTCATAGAACGCCTCTTGGAATTGAGTGTACATGTGATATGGTACAGCATACTTATCATTTGAAAAGTCCATTCGCAAGTTATCATAGGGGTACGATTCCGAATTCAAGTATACTTTTAGAGATGATAACGAACAATGGTCAAATCTACTACTATCTTTGTTTATTTTGTTTTTTCTATCCACTTAAAAAGCTACAATATCAAATCTCGGGCTCTCAGTCTGCGATGAAGTTTTCACAGTCCAGGCTTGTCTTTTACTATTTGGTAGACCAGGATTTTCATATAGATCCCAACTTCGAAATGCTATTTGAAGCAGTGTTGAGGTTTCCAGGATTTTGAGCATGTCTAACCGCATGGCATCCGACACACTTACATGTATAACAATATATATACAATATATAACTTTGCTCAAAATAATTTTACAACTTGATAAATTTTCATTTGTCGAGTAAATACAATTTAAATCTGTACCACTCCGTTGCAATATTAAGTCTTGACGACAATTAACGATGACTTTTTTATGATTCTCGGCAAATCCTAATAATAACCTTAGAGGTATGCATAATTCGAATTTCATACTCGTATTTGCAGTTACAACACTCCAGCCAGCAAAAATTATTTATGTTAGCAACTTGATCCGATATATTTTATTTGCGTCGAGTATTTTTCGATGAAAGCCTAAATACAACCTATACTATTTTCATCGCTAAAATCTATCTGTCGGCTACACTTTAATTCTGATTTTAAAGTGTTNATGAAAGCCTAAAATACCACCTATACTATTTTCAACGCTAAAATCTATCTGTCGGCTACACTTAAATTCTGATTTTAAAGTGTTTTTATTAGCCTTCAACATGAATGAGATTTTATACGACTGAAGACGTTCTTCTAGATATTTACTAATGTCTTCAAGTTCATGAGTGCCTTAAGGCACTTTAATTTCTATGTTATTTTCAAGAAGCTCGTTATTTGTATTTATCAAAGTGAATGTATTGTTTGACTTGTCAATATTAGGTATTGAATTACATCCGTAAAATCCCAACAACGCAACTTCTGGTGCTCCAGTGAATTCTATCGGTGGAAAAAAACTTGATGTGACTTCCGACGTTGTGTCATGCAGCGTAAGGGTCAGCGATTTGAGCATTGTGATTTTAAAAATTTTAAACACAGCTGACCACAAACGTTTGTGTTATATTTTTGTTTCTGATTATAGTTGTATTTCACGGGCAATCCGGTGAAATATTTTTCAAGTTCCAGCGGAGGAGGTAAATTTCCAAAAGAGTCAAAATACACCACGTCCTTGTTTTTCTTAAAATATGCTACCCAATGCGTTCCTTTCCCGCGGTCAATGTCCAAATTAACAACTGCACTCTCGTATATTTTGGGCTTGACAGGCAACTTATCTCTCGAAAAGACACCGCGGAAATGACTGATTCCGAATGACTCAGCATATTTTATAATATCTAAATCGCTGAGTGCACGTCGCTTGGGTAGTGTCAATGCTAGTTTTTTTGATGTTTCAAATAGAATCCACCACCCTTCTTTTTCCCAGCATATGGATGCAAGTATAATGCATTACCGATTTTCACTGGTTTATTCGAATTAACGTTTTTTCTGACTTCGTGTGCAGCTCTTACAATACTCGATACTCCACCAGCCAACGATCCTAAAGCTGAAAGTCCAGCAAAAATAGGAATGAGTGGCAGCACACCTCCAAATTTAGGTACTTTGATAGTGCGAGGTGTTTTAAATTTTTGTTTCCCCTTTACAGCAACACGAGCTGCCGCTAATGCTAAGTTTGCCGCACTGTTAATATCTTTTGAATTACGCATAGCTTTACGTCCAACTCGTAGTACACCACCAAAACCCATTCCAATCTTTCTTTTAGCTTTCATGGTATTTGTAACAGCATACGCAACAGCCTTTTCTCCAAATGAACTATCGTTTGCTTTTACGCGGTCCCAAGCACGTTTTTCCAACTCGTAATCAGCCAAATGCCGTTCCGATAAATCATTTGTTCTTGCGTACGCAATATCATGTTCACGACACGCTGCATCGAGTTTATTTATTCCAGGATCACCACGTGCTAGTCTTTTATTAAGTTTTGTGCCTGGTCCGCAATACTGATACCCTGGAACATGCATTTCAATGGGCAATCGATTAATTATTGAATTAACAATACCATGTCCTATACTTCGCTTCGTCGCACGCCTTGTTCGCATCATTTTCAATTTATAACTGTAAAGGTTTTTTGAGTTTTTCATCGTTTATACTCATTCGTTTGACGAGTAATAACGTGCGCTAATAATGGTTTTTGAGAAACAGAAACATACTCTATCAGTCGATAATGTGGTGGATCTTACAGACCCCATCGAGTCTAAACATGGACCACTGTTACCCAACACAATAAGATGCATAATATGTGGACCATCAAATTGTGGTAAAATAAATATTATGTTTAAATTATTAGCTGAGGAAAATGGTTTGCGGTTCGAGCACCTATACGTTTACACGAAAACCCCGGATCAGCATAAATATAAATTATTAGGTGAGATTATGGATAATGTGGTAAAATTATCCATGTTCACCAGCAGTGAAGACGTGCCACCACCCGAAAAATTAGAAGCAAACTCTGTATTTGTATTCGATGATGTGATTTGTGAAAAACAAATTCATATGACATCTTATTTTTGCCGAGGGCGACACAATGGTGTTGATAGTTTTTACCTAACACAGACGTATTCTAAAATTCCAAAACAACTGATAAGAGATAACACTAATATGATTATACTGTACAAACAAGATGAAACAAATCTCAAACACGTTTATGAAGATCATTGTTCCAGTGATATGAGTTTTAATGAATTCAAAGCAATGTGTTCACAATGTTGGAATAAAGGACGATATAGTTTCATTACTATAGTGAAAGATGATGACCTCAACAATGGTCGATATCGATGTGGGCTTGATATATTCATAAAAATGACGCGAGTATAAAAAGACGACTCATACTGCTATATGTTTAGTTAATATCAAGATGTCGGATAAAGTGTTGAAAGAAATCATACGCTCTAAACAAAACATAAAAAATAAAATACAGTTAATTCATAGAAATGTTGAGAAATCGGAAAATTTTGTACGTACACATATGTCACCGCTGGTGACACCTCTTCAAGAAATAGCTAATCAAAATCGTGTTGAAATGGAAGAAAAGCAAAAGCATAGAAAGTCATTGTTTCGTCACTTGGACAAAGCCCGTCCTATAGTAAAAACTGATCCAATTACATCCGAAGAAAATGATATGATACAGAGCTCTAGCGAACCCTCTACATATCAGGAAGAGGAAATAAAGATGGAAAGTTCAATAAAAAATGAACCTTCTATATCTCAGGAAGAAATAAAGACGGCAAATATCGATAAGCCTAAACGCTCGTTTTCTAGTGAAATGCAGCGAGAAGATTTTTCAAAGTGGTTGTTAGAAATGGACCCGGTTTACGGTTTAAAATATGTGAAAGATAATGATTTTATCATGGGTAATACTACGGTTAAAATAACCGATGATTTTTCAACTATTAAAGTTGGGACATTAGCACCACGACCACTAAGTTATGGGCTTTATCAATTATTATTTAAAAGTAAACCTGCAGTTGGTTCATTCAATAAAATGGATTTATCGAATTATAAAATTTTACTATTTTACACTAATGCTCATTTAGGTCGAGATAGAAAATTGAAATGTAATGTAGGTTATAAATATAAATTTATCATTAGTAACTTGTTTCCTCCGAAAACAGGCAGTGGTGTGTTAACCTACAAAATTTTAAACAAAAGACCTAAAGAATACGTATATTGGAACGATCCTAATGAACTCATAGTTCGATTAGAACTTTTACACGCTGCAAGAAGTGCTGGAAATACAGGTGTGGGAAACGAAATACTGTCAATAGAAGAAGAGTTACGAGAACTAGGTATAATATCATGAGTAAAGTAGCAGAGAAAGTAGCAAATGAATTACATAGACCGGCTAGAAAAATATTTCCTAGAAGAAGAGTTGTATCGTATGGCAAAGATGACTTGTGGCAAGCAGATTTAGTAGATATGAAAAAATACTCTACAAAAAATAAAAATTTTACCTTTATTTTAACGATAATCGATGTTTATACAAAATATGCGTGGGCTGTGCCTTTAAAAAATAAATCTAGTACAGAAGTCAAGTCGGCTTTTGAAAAAGTCTTGTTCAATAGATCTCCAAAAAACTTGCAAACAGACCGAGGTTTAGAATTTTTCAACAAACATTTTCGGATGCTCATGAAGAACAAAAATATAAATCATTATTCAACCTACTCTACAATGAAAGCGGCTGTTGTGGAACGATTTAATAGAACACTTAAAGAAAAAATGTGGAAAAAATTTACTACCAATAGATCGTATAGTTGGATAAACATTATAGCAGATTTAATAACAAATTACAATAATACAAAACATAGCGCCATAGGAACAACTCCTAGTATAGCATCACGTAATCCTGGAAATGTCAGTTTTAAACGGCTACCTATTTTAAAATATAATAAAACGTTTAATATTGGAGATAAAGTTCGTCTGAGTAAACATAAAGCAGTATTTTCAAAAGGATACACACAAAATTGGACAACGGAAGTCTTTACAATCGCAAAAATTCGTGATACAAAACCTGTCGTGTACGAACTGACAGATGAAAACAACAGACCTATAAATGGTTGTTTCTATGAGCACGAACTTAGCAAGACTCAGTTTCCAGAAGTTTATTTAGTGGAAAAGATCATTAAGAAGAATAAAGACAAATGTTTTGTCAAATTTGTTGGTTTGGATAATTCACATAATAAATGGATAGATTCAATAGATATTATATAAAAAGCCTATAATTTTTTTTTTTTTGATATTTATTATTATAAAATATTTTTTCATTATTGTAATAAAACATTTAGTTGAATAAATAGACAATTACAAATACAACACGAGTTTTTTTTATTTAATAATTAAAAATATAAGTATATTTACTTTTTTTTTTTTCATATGTTACATTTTAAAACTATATACGATTACATGTGTATTACTAACATTTATTTACAATTATTTAACAAAAAAAATCTTAAAACTATTTATACTAGTACACATATTTTTACAAATTATTTAACATTTTTTTTTTCCAACGAGAATCACTTAAATACTACTATATTTGTATTAACCTCCCTGTGGTGGTGGTGGTGGTGGTATAGCATAATGCCCGTGAGCCAACGTGTCGATTCTGTTTTCGAGCGTATAGCACTTATCGTCGAAACGGTTAAGCGCCATCTTGGTTGTACGTAAAAGCGTACTTCGTGCTCGAACGAACGGATTGACACGTTCTGTCGGTACGGAGTGTATGGCAGCGATAATGTCGGTAGAGTCTCACCATCGCGTACAGCTCCGATGACCACACGGGCATTCTCTCCAGCCAATGCTCGTTTTGACACATCGTCGCCATCGCCATCGTCTTCGAACAAACATCGTTTGTAATCGTCCAAAGACAGATGGTTCCGGACGACGTGCCCGCGGATCCCCTTAGATTTGATTAGTTCGCTGCCTTCCATGTCATATGCGTAGCACTTTGATCGAAGTGCAGCGATCTCAAAGAGGGTAAGGCCACCGGTTTCGTCTGAAAACAGGCCGGGCATCTTCTTTCTATCGGTCGAGTAGCAAGGGTGATCCTTGGGCAGGCTAGATGCGTCCACGTGCATCAGTAAATCGGGGCTATCAGCTAAATCCTGGTAGAAGTCGCCGACTCTGAGCAGGTATATGAAGGAGTCTGAGAAAAATGAAAAATATATAAATATTATAAAAAATATTTCTACTAAATAATTTCTAAATTTTAAAATATTTCTATTTTTTGCGGTTGTACTCCAACCAGTATCCATGTAAACCAATTCGATTGCGTTGCCATAATGCGGTTTCATAGTACGTCATAGAAGTACTTGTACATTAGCGTCTTGCTAATGTCAAGCACTGCTAAACCGACGTATATTGGTTTGATAAACTGGACAATCTTTGTGTCCATTATGACAGCGCGCAACCTTTCACCGTATTTGATACAGTCGTTGAAGGTTGGTTGGTTTACGAGCTTGCTTAGACGTTGGGAACTGGAGATTAGCTCAATGCGGGTACGCTTCCGCATGTTCTCCATGANACTGGAGATTAGCTCAATGCGGGTACGCTTTCGCATGTTCTCCATGGTTTTCCCTATAAAATGTAAAAAATTATCGAATAACCCACAACTGCTTTAGCATTGAGCATGCACTTACCAAAGACGGCATTATTCATTAGTTTGAAAAATGCTATTTCAAAAGCATTTGCCGCCTGTTTCCGCATTTCAGTGTTCAACTCAATGTATGGTTTCAACCAAGCACTTTGTTGAAACTCTAAAACGCGGTACACCTGCAGTACAAATATTTATATTAGTATCATCGCTTATAGTTTATAGATTAATTACACATACTTTATCGACTTGCAGTCCGTGTGCGATTGCCTGTTTTAAGTTGACATAGTGTACGACGTACCGTTGTTTGGGTTTCAAAGTGGCCATGAGTTTGGTCTCTTTGGAACCCGGCGGTACATCATTGACAGGCAAGAACGGCAAGTTNTTGGAACCCGGCGGTACATCGTTGACAGGCAAGAACGGTAAGTCGTTGTGCTCGTCATGCAACTCTTGTGGATACGATACGTCAACTTCATATATACGCCCCGTATTACCAGTGTCCGACAACGATTGGAGGTCAGCCAGAGGGTCTGTTCCTTTATACCACCGGAAGCCACCGTACGGCATGGGCTGACTCATAGCCCATCCGTAAAGGTTATTGCCTGTATACATTAAACGTTTTTAAAGCACCGCTCAATTATTGCGCGTTTATATATACGTATAGAATACTTACAGTCTTGATACACGATCCATGAGTCTGGTTTTGACGGATCGTAATCTGGTGTCTTAGGATTGTTGGCCTTTGCATAGTGCTTGACAGCCTGCACTAACCCACCACGAATGCCCTGTTCCACCATCAGTAGCATGTCGTAGTCGTTCAAGAGCTCCAGCTTCACCCCGGTGTACTTCAACATACAATCGAAGCTAAAACCAGGCGCGGTGTAATAGTGCGCCGGGTCCAAATTGTATGTTGAAATACAGATGTCGCGGAAGTTCTCAAACACATCAGCTAACAACAACACGTCGATCTTAAGGTATAGGTCGCTGTACTCACCGAGGGTTGAGCAGCCGAAACGGTTCCACACCTCCGTGGCATGTCTATAGTCATCATCATCGATATTCGACTCACTTAACTGACTATAGAAAGCGTCATGAGGCGGTAGTTCCGTTTCGTCCAATTTAATCCAACTATCAGTGTACTCGTAGGGGTATACGCCCTTACGTGTCACCAACAACATGTCTTCCGGACGGAACACCTTGGCCGTTTCCCGAAATTTAACGAAATCAGGCGTCATTAGGTTACCGGCCAAGGTGGACAGGGAGGAGGCCATGAACCGGAAGGTGTCGACGAACCGTATGGAAAAGTAATTGGTTACGTATTTCGTGACTGAAATATACTTCTCCTCGGAATTCGGTATGACCGAAATCCTTTGGTCGTCGTACCCCAATTCAGTGACGATGAAATGCGCATCGTACCCTGATAGATTGTGTAAGAAGCACGGCACAAAGTTGACCGTCTTCACTTTTAAGTTACATGCATTGCACAACGTCTGTCTGAATCGCCCCGATAAATGGCAGTGGTCTGCAACTTTAGGGTTGGAATCCTTGAATGCTGTACGGCATAAGTCGCATACCACTTTCTCCCCGTGCCTGCGCACATCATCGATAGACATTCGGATGGGAACGTTGGTTTTGCGCAACAATTTAGAAATGTTGCGCGTCACTTCAGTTACAGCCATCACGAATGCCTTAGCGACCTCTTCGCGATCCTCGTAGCCACGGTATATCATCGGTGATTGTGGTATACCGTAGCGTTCGAGGAGCTCGGAGGGTACATCGTCCGATGTTTTCACCATGAACCCATAGCTCATGGGATGGTNGAAGGCACATCGTCCGATGTTTTCACCATGAACCCATAGCTCATGGGATGGTGGGTGTGCACAGTCCTGGTGTATGCACCCATGCGATCGTCTGTTTTCTCCAGTAAGGCCTCAAAATCGGCGTAGATGACGAACGGTAACCGTTGCGTCTTTACCCACGCTTCAAATTCGACCTTACTGCCCTCTGCCGGCATAACAGGTAAAATTGGTTTATTTTTGCCGCATATCAACTTGTGTTGCTCCAACGCTTGTTGACCTCGAAGAATATGCTTTTTAGGCCGATCATCAAAGCAGGTGAAGCAACGTTTGCAAGTGTATATGCGACCTTGGTGTCTGGTTTTTTGTTTACGAACAAGCTTAGAAAAATCTGAAATGTACGCGTAATGTGATTTTACAGAGTCGCCAATATACAACAGGTCAAAATGATTCTGTTGTTCTTGGTCGGCAACTCTTAGCGGATACACCAACCACTTCATCTTAACGTCGTCTCGTTCCAAGCCGTACACGTTGACAGACACGTTAGGGTTTTGTCGTTCAAATATTTTAATTTGGGACACAGGTGTGAGGAACGTCAACCCTGTGAAATTATACCTGTGTTCCTCGTTAAAATATTTTCGATCAACGCGATATTTGTGGTCTCCCTTGACGTGTCTCGACAAAATAGACCACTTGAAACAAGACTGATCGATATTCTGTGGGTTGATGATTGCTTTTCTATTATTAATTTCGGACGGAATCGGAATATATGATGAGCCGGCGAGGGGCGTATACTTGTATACGCTGAGCATAATGCCGTCGATATGCGATAAAGTAAAGCCGCTACCCCTCCCAGAGTACACGTCTTCCTCGGCGAGCATAACCTCAAAATCTTCATCGACCGCACACCCGATATCTGTATCGGATAGCAATGCTCTAGCTCGTGTTTTAAAGGCACGGTCCTCGGGCGGTGCTTCCGATCGCGGTATATGATATGAGGCCTCCAATTTGAGATTATACTTGATCGGTCGGTTACCTACAATTTCAGCGAGTCTGACCACAAGCTCGGGTTTAACGGCGCGCAGAAAATCTCGATAGCTCGCGAAATTCTCCACGTTCTTCCGATAAAACCAAACGGCCCCCCGATCCAATGCGGAATCGATCTCAGTGAAATCATGGGTATCCGTCAATTGCATACGTAACCTTTTCGACCTAACCGCGCTGTTGTTAGCCCTACTACGCTTAGCCGCCTGACGTGATGAAACAGATGTCGCAGAAGTAACTTTAATCAAAAATGAAATAAATTATTTTTTTTATACATTAAAGTAAAGTAAAGAAATTTTTTTTTTTATATATAATAAAATAAATTGAAAATTAGAATAAAATTGATAATAAAATTAGGTATTGGATTTATTTTATTATTTTTAATAAATTTATTATTTTTAATAAATTTATGAATTTAAAAATTAAAAATTAAAAATATTTTAAAAATAAATTTATTAAAATAAAATAAGTTTATAATTGGAAAATTTTACATACCTTGTGTAGAAGACGCTTGATCTTGCTGGTTCATGGTTTTATTTATACGTGTAAATTATTAAATAATAAATTTCTGGTTTTCAAAATGACAACTGCACGTTAATGACAATTAAAAACAAATGTGACAGGACAAGAAGTATTTCACCGGTTATATAGTAAAGAATAAAATACTGCGTAGGCGTGAAACACATCCAGTGGTGTCATTTTTATCATAAAATGCATACGACAGTGCTCGTTACTGTACGGTGATACCTTTGATGTTGGAAATATGCTTACCTAAGCGTCTGGTAGTCGATGATAAAATTCTTAGAAATTATAGCTATACATTTAATAATACACAGACAGCGCCGCAATTGTTCTCATATCAAATTACAGACGATTATGAGCCATATAATATAATGATACCTTTGATGTTGGAAATATGCTTACCTAAGCGTCTGGTAGCTGATGATAAAATTCTGAGAAATTATAGCTATACATTTAATAATACACAGACAGCGCCACAATTATTTCCCATAAAATTACAGACGCTTATGAGCGATATAATATTATGATACCTTTGATGTCGGAAATATGCTTACCTAAGCGTCTGGTAGTCGATGGTAAAATTCTTAGAAATTATAATGCCATAACGACAAACGATACCATTGTTCTCATAAAATTCATACGATAATGATTATTACTATATGACGACATCTTCAATATTAAAAAAATATGCTTACCTAAGCGTCTGGTAGTTGATGGTAAAATTCTTAGAAAGAAGTTATATGGAAAGTTCCACATGTAAGTGTGTCGGATGCCATGCGGTTAGACATGCTCAAAATCCTGGAAACCTCAACACTGCTTCAAATAGCATTTCG